TGATATGGTTCAACAGGCTGATAAATTAGATTTATATCAAGAAGCTAAAAGCATCAGGAGTAGAAACGTCAGTAATAACACTCCTAAGCCATCTCAACGTAGTGGTCCTAAAAATTATAAAAATAACTCTCAAATTGTTACAAACTCAGCGACAAGGAATTTTGGCATGAGGGAACATCGATCAACTGTTAGTTGTTATGGTTGTGGAAAATCAGGCGCCGTTAAGGCTAAGTGTCCAACCAGCTCTCCTTCTTTAAGTAAAGAATCAGCCGACTTCAAAGTTTACTTCAACTTACATACAGTGCTTGTAGAGACACCTCACACGACTCTTTTTAGAGTAAAAATCAACGGATCTACGGGAATTGTCTGTGTTGACACTGGCGCTACTCACACTATAGCGGGAGAAACATTATATAATCTCTTGAAAGAACAGGGATCAGAATTTAAGAAAACTAATATGAAGGTCACTCTTGACGACGGTAAAGGGACGAAGAGGTCCAGATGACCCAGGTAGACATTCACGTTGAAAGAAGATCATTCCGCATAACTTCATTTGCTCTTCCCTCAGCAAAGGGTAACGGGACACTTTTGGGATCGGATTTTCTTAGAAGCATTGAAATCTACAAAGTCATTGGTGGTTTTACCCCGATAATCCGCAACAAAAGTTTATTGATGATTTTGAACACAATGATCGAAATGAATGTACGTCGGAAGTTGACACTGTACTGTTAACAGAATGTGAAGGACAACAAGTATCGGATCACCAAAGATCACAATTAAATGAACTATTGAGTCAATATTTAACTATCTTCCATCCAGGCGGAGAAGCAACATCTTTCATACAACATCGAATTAAAACTGGAAACCATCCTCCAGTAGCTGTACCATCATACAGAATGAAACCTGCCAAGAAAGAAATCTTAAAGCAAGAAATTGACAAGCTCTTATCCGAAGGAATAATTGAAGAATGCGAATCCCCTTATGCATCCCCAGTTGTTTTAATACCGAAACTTAATGGAACAGTACGCCTCTGCATAGATTACGAGAAATTGAACGCGATTACAGTTCCGGATTCCTACCCACTTCCGAGAATGGACGACCTGTTACATGAGACAAAACCTACTCTTTTCATGTCAACCCTTGATCTTCGTGCAGGTTATCACCAATGAAGGTTCATACTGATGGATCAAGACAAGACAGCATTTGTGTGTCCCTTCCGAACATATCGTTTCTTACGAATGCCTTTTGGTCTTTGGAATGCCCCACCAACATTCCAGAGATTGATAGACCGTTTTCGCAATGGACTTGTGGACATCCTAACCCTCACCTATCTGGACGACATAATCGTGTTGTCAGAATCATTCGAGAAATACCTTTCTGATCTCAAAGCTGTTTTCGAAAGGCTTTTGCCCTTCAAACTGCACGCAAATAGAGAGAGTGCCACTTCGCTTCTTCTCGTGTGATATATTTAGGATTTTGGATCACACAAAAAGGAATCGAAGTTGATCCAGAAAAGGTTTCCTCTATCCAGAGAATTCCACCTCACAAAAACATCAAGGAACTCTAATCCTTCCTTCAAACGTGTTCTTAGTTTAGACGATATATACAAAATTTCCCAGAAATATCACAACCTCTTAGTGATTTGACAAAGAAGAAAGTTCAATGGGAATGGGGTTTCAACCAGCAAAAAGCATTTGAAACTCTAAAAAACTGCCTCATAACACCTCCTGTGTTAAAGCAAGCAAATGGTACTCAACCGTATATTCTTCGAACAGATACAAGCAATTATGCTCTTGGAGCCGTCTTACTTCAAGGGGAAGGTTCTAAAGAGCACCCTATCGAATATGCCAGCCGACTGCTTTCTCCGGCTGAGCGAAACTATTCGACAACTGAACGAGAAGCCCTCGCTGTAGTCTGGGCTCTGAAAAAATTCCGTGGTTACGCCGAAAGATCAGAAGTAACTCTAGCATCTGATCATCAACCTTTAAAATGGCTTTTGAACCTTAAGTCTCCAACCTGAAGACTTGTTAAGTCTTTCAACCAGAAAGTACAATACATTCCTGGAAAGGCAAACGTCATCGCTGACCCGTTCAAGCTCCGAACATGAAGTTTCACCTTGCGAGACTTCAAATATATCTATAGTGGACATGCCCACAAGAAGTCCAAAAGACATGCGTGAATCCCAACTTAAAGATGAAAACTTAAAAAAAAGATTATAGAAAGTTTCGAACCCACTCAGAAAACTGAAGAATGTGCCAGCTGGACGGAACGGGGATTCTTAATGAATCAAGGTGTTCTCTACCGATATGTCCCTGACTCTGATTCAGAAAGAGGCCCCCAGTTAGTAATTTCAACTGCCGAGCGTGAATCCATCATGCGAAAGCACTATGATGACCCAATGGCTGGACATTATGAAGAGGAAGGAACATTCCAACAAACTGCCAGATGCTATTATTGGACTGGTATGAAAAAGTACATATCCGACTATGTGAAAAGTTATCCTGAATGCAAGCGCTACAAGGCTACCAACCAAAAGCCAGCTGGACAGCTAAGAACCCCTGTCTATTCTCAACGTTTTGAGATAATATCTATTGATTTGTTTGGACCACTGCCAAAAACTGACACTGGAAAACAATGGATCTTCATTGTCGAAGACTGTGCTACACGATGGGTTGAATTATTTCCTCTTGCTCAAGCTACAGCACGTGACTGTGCTATAACCCTCATCGAAGAAGTATTCATGCGGCATGGTATACCACGAAGAATCATCAGCGATAACGGAGCCCAGTTTATCAGTGCAGTCATACAACAAGTTTACTGCACATTAAATATCATTCAAAACTTGATACCAGTTCACTTTCCTCAATTTAATCCTGTAGAACGGAAAAATAGAGACTTAAAAACCTCGTCTTGCAATCATTGTAGAAGATGCGCATGACAACTGGCATTCGAAACTCTCAGTTATTCGCTTCGCTATGAATACGGCCGTCTGTAACACTACAGGCCATACACCAGCATTCCTAATGTTTGGAAAAGAGCTGAGGACTGTCGACGACGTTGTTCAAGATTTCACAGCTATTGTCGAAAATGATAACTTTGTTCCTGAAATCACCACTTATCTTAAACGATTCGCAACTATTACAAAGGACATACGAGAGCGTATCGAAATAAAGCAAGATCAGCGTAAAAAGCAATATGATAAAGGAAGGCAGCAAGTGTTTTATTCACCAGGCGATAAAGTATGCGCAAATTTACATCCTGTTAGCAATGCAAAAAACAAAAAGACTTCAAAGTTCATACCAAAGCGTGAAGGTCCATACTTGGTAATGACACAGAAATCACCTACTTCCTATGTCATTTCAAGCCTTCATAAACCATCAGAACCATTAGGAACGTATCATACATCTGCACTAACACCTTCCAAAAACTCGTCCACTTCTCCCATTCTTCCACTCAGGAAGAGAGGTAGAGCGCCAAAAGTAACTTTGCATTCCCGAAAATAATCAAGATCTTGTGGTTCCGGACAATGCTACAGAGAAAAGTCCCCTTGCCCAGGAAAACAAACAAACAAACAAACAACAACAACAACAACAACAACAACAACAAAAAAAAAAAAAAAAAAAAAAAAAAAAACACCTGAGACTAGAGACTATGTTATAAAAGCTTCCAAATCCTAAAGTTCTGTCTCCTTGCCGGGACGTTGGCGGAGCCGGAGGGGGAATTTGTAACCAATCCTTTAACACAAACTATTGAACTAACCGTGACAACAAGGCTGCCTTCCGGCGAGTAGCCAGAAAAGTACTGCAGTAAAAGTCGTGTCCCACTTGATAGGTTGTACCAGACTCTTGCTCTGTAATTTTTCTTAAAGTTAAATGTAATGTCCTTGTGTAACTTAAACCTGTTAATAAATACTTGTTACACTATACAGGACTCTTCTATGACCCTATCTAAAATGACCCCCTCACAGAGCGAGAATTAGTGTTTTAAGAGATTTTAATCAATATCTCTGATTTTATTTTTTTTTAAAAAAAAGTGGATGTCGACCTTTTCCAGTACCCATAAAAGAATTGTAGAAAGTTTGGTGATGTTAGCTCTAGTAGTGACTGAGTTATTAGCCGAACAAACACACAGACTTTCTGACTATGCTTTGTATACTAGACGGCTGACTGTTTTCTCTCGAAAACATGAGATAAAATATTATTAATTATACTTTCATTTTAGAATTTTTTGTATTTCTTTCTTGTTATTTATTGCTTATTTCACTGTTTTTAAGATACTGAAAAGGAAACAAAACTCTTAACTTCCTTTATACTATTTGAATTCTTAAAATTTTGCAATGGGAAGTTGGTTAATTTATTTATTAGGATAATTAAAATTTGTATTATGAGATATTGCTTATTTCATTGTAATTTTTTATATTATTTTATTGTATATTTTTATATTTAATGCATTTTTATTTATTTTTTTGATAGAGTTGTTCTGCAGAGTAAAACTGTGCAGTTTTTAAATGTAATGTTTGGTATTCCCTTTAGGCATTTTTCCGGCACATTTAAAAGCCAGATGAAGGCTGGCGGCTAGTTATCAATAAACAGTTACTTTTTCTAAGGGAATCAATCATGTTTTTCACATAAAAATGAAACTTTTATACAGATATTTAATTTATAGAAAATACAACTGCATTTTATGGCAAAATAAATTTTATATTTTAATTTTTGATGATGGAAAGATAATGGATGGATTTTTAATTTTTGATGATGGGATGTGTTGAATTATACAGGTTGCCAAACTTTGCATGATACATTAACTAACTTCAAACTTTCATGTCTCAAAATATTTAATTTGGTGTTTGATTTTTTAAAGCTGTCAATAAAAGAGTGTATTTAGTACACATTGATTAAAAGATAAAGTGGCAAATTATTTTAGAAAGATATTTGAGAAAAATAGAAAATAGTAAGATGTATGAACAATGCAATATCAAATTACTATGAAAAAACAAAATGTGACAATATTGAAAAAATTTATTTCATAAATGAATTATTTTACAGTTTGACTACAATGAATACAACAATTTACAAATTATTCTACCAAGCAACATGTTTGAGGCACATCATTTAGAAAAATCATGCATTCAGAAAAAGTCGATTAAGGAATAGAAATTAATGAATGTGTAACAAAATAAGCTATATTTTAAAAAATGAATGCAAAAACACCTATACACTATTTTACAAAATTAAAAAAAGCACCGTAGACAATTTATCACAGTAACAATCACAAATCAGAAGCCCAAACATATTAAAATAAAGATTTCATAAGGATGTTATGAAATATTTTTAAATACATGTTAAACTTCTCAATTTTGCAATCAAACCAAAAAGATTTTTTTTTTTTTTTTTTAAGCAGGACAAATAAAATAGTTATTGCACTGTTTTAATATTTACATAAGAAATAACTAAGTAAATTTTTAATGTTTACAGTGATTACAATAATAATTATATACAATCAATAATAAATCAATGTAACAAAAAGTGAAAAAGATTTTATTTCAAGCAAAATGTTTAACTAGTACACAATTTAGGATCCTGTTTTAAAATATACCTTCCAGAATTTATTCTTGTGCATGTGTGCGTATGTCTAGGCTATATTAACTTCTGACACATATAACTAATATAATCATTCAACCAATAACAAGTATAATGAATTACAGATAATAAATATGCGATTTTTAACTGTAAAACTAAATATAACTTCCAATTTTAAAGTAGTAAAACCACAGGTTATATGATTGAAAATTTTATATTTTTTACAGTTTAAGTATAAATACATTTTTAATAGATTCATTTTCACCCAGAGATAATATGAAATCAAGGATAAAACAAAATATAAAAATGCTCAAATCAGTCCTAGACACTTAAGTACAAGCAATATAGAAATAGTATTAAAACTGAAATATACTCCTTGCATCTAAATAAGAAACGTGGAATGTATTAAATTATTTACAAAATCTGTACCTATAGAAAGTAGATCAAATTTTCAATCAGAAAAAAAAAAAACAAAAAAAAAAAAAAAAAAAAAAAAAAAAAAAAAGAAGAGAGAGAGAGAGAGAGAGAGAGAGGGGAGTAAAATGAGAAACTGGATGAACAATTACTGGCATTAAAGTTAGATTTATAAATTCGACAACATGCATGAACCTAACAGCATAATATAGCATCACTTCAGAAAAAACTTTATTAAACCAGAAATATAAGTAAGGAAAGAAATTATATGGCTATTACTTATATACATTTTTTAAGTATCTCAAAACCATTAAGTACAATTAAAAATAATCAGACTTTTCATTGTTACACATGCCATAGTTTGTAGAGATTTTGAAGGATAAAATATAAATATAAGCTCAGAAAAGTCTTAATAGTGATGGATCAATAATGAAAGAGTGATAAAATTAATATACACGTACTTTAAAAAAATTATATATATAAAAGAAAGATTAAAACAAAAATTTATAACATAAAATTTTTATTAATTAAATAGGCCATATATTAAATCAATTTATTTAGAATACAAACACTCATTTATTTTTTTTTCAATCTTTTCATTATATTAAATATTTGGAAAGTAATCTATATTATTTCTGCAGTTTAATTTTTAATAATAGTAGCTCATGCATATACACATATTCTAATTTATTCTTACTATATAATTTAATTTCTTCTTGCAAACTCCTGACCTCCCCCCAAAAAGTTCAAATTTTACAACAATTTAATGTGCTGATTTTAAAAGTACATGTCAGCAATAATTACCTTATATAACCTGATGACTATGGCACTTTCCTTAATAGCATGAAATTTCACTGAAATGTTACAAAACCACAACATAATCAGTGTAGCAAATTATTCCAAAGATTCACAGCTTTAAGTTTGAGAGTTTGCAAGTGTGTTAATGGAAAAATAAAATTTAAAAACCAAACTTGTATATACTTCAGAAAATCTTTATAAAAATAGTCAATGGTATATTATAGAAGCTTATGATATAGAAAGGTAAAAAACAATTTATGTGAAAATTGCAATAACAAGCAAGATTCAGATACAATCACATTTAATAATAAAGAAAAATAAACCTATTATCATTCATTAATAATTAAGAATTTAGAAAAATCTGCCTTAAAATTATAGTATATAACGAATTTTAAAGAAAAGCGTTCTAAACAAATGATGCTAAATACAATATAACACAGATATCACAAAAAGGAATGCATTACTTTATTAATAGTTTCTATAAAACTAATTAGAATTAATTACATCTTGCATGTGTCCATATTCGTATCAAATATCACATTCAATGCAGAAGTCCCACTAAATCGCAGATAAATTTTTGCCAATCCACTTGGTTAAAAAAACTCAGAAACACACTTTAAGGTCTCCAGAAAAGTATTATCCAAACTATATCAACTAAATATAGTATAATAACTGGAATTGTTGGGACTTCAGCGATTCTAGATTTCAGATCATCAGTCTAAATAAGATGACAAGTTTTTACTGCAATATTGGAGCTTTACTTATTGTTTGGGTCAGATATAAAAATTTTATCCACTCTCACATTCACTAAAGGGTGATCTTGGCCAACATTAATACAACGTCAATCAATATAACATTAGTGGCCATGGTGCTACTCCCTAGTCATTAGGTGTTTTAAAATGACATGCAGGAATCTCAGTGGCATTTATGGCTCATCTGCTTCCTTTTCTTGAATATTATATGCTTTATTCCTAGACTTCGTAAGAGGATGAGGGAATTTTTTATATTATATTAATTTTTTTTTTGGGGGGGGGGGACTGGTGGTCTGAAGGTCCAGATATTGGATTGTTGGATATCTGGATTCCAGACTTTGTACTGTATATGCATAAAAAGAAATTATAAATTATACAAAATTTAAATCACTTTTCCCTTGTATATTCAGAAAATATATAATACAATAGTACTTTAAATTTAAAACAAGGCAAATTGGACATAATGGGGGGGGGAGGAGACTAATATACTTAACTATTGCCTAATTTATTGGGAATTTTTAGATGTACCATCACTTTTGATATCTTTAATTCTCACCTTCACTATTGCATCAGAGCACATCTTCAGTGACAATTAAATCATAAGTAATATAACACATTAAATACAATTTCTTGACAATTTCTTCAGGGATATTTTTCCAAAACTGCAATATTGGCAGAAACAAGATTTTAAAGTAATTGCTTTGGATTTAAGCCATACCCTAATTTAATGCGTAAAAAATATGAATATAAAATTACTGCTTAAATTTACAGTAATAAGGTATTACGCATCAATATTATTCCCCCTCTCAATATATATATTAAAAAATCATGACAAAAATTTAATATTGCATAATATGTGAAAAGATTAATTTTTTAAAAATAGGAAGAAATAAAGAACATTTTTCAATTTTCTTTAAATACCAACAAGATACTTCAGAAAAAACATTACCAATTATCCCATTCATAATTCAGCTATACTGTCTGTTTCTAAATCAGTAATTCACTAATAACTAATAATAATAGTAATTCGCTAATATAATGCAATAACTCCTGAAACTGAAAAGTATAAAAAGAAATTAAAAGCAACATATGCAATTATATCCAACATGTACAAATTCTAAAATATCTTTTTTAAGTAGTCAGGAAATCTAGTGATTTTGGTTTAACAAAATTAATATACCATTCACTATATTACAAACCACAATTTCTTATGGAAATATTTTGCTCAGTTTGCATTCAAGACGATTAAATATTACTTTTATTTCTTTCCATATTTGTGAAATTTTATCACTATTTCACTTTGTAAATGTAGCTCTTGAGTTTTGTGTTTCAGATGTTAAACATCCCTAATAACATACTTCTTTGGTTAGACAGTTCTGCATTAAGTATATTAAATATATAAAGTTTGTTTTGATTCTAATTATGCAGTAAGAATACGCAAAAGCAAAGTAATGTCAGAATACGTTTCAATTTTAAATCAGTCATGCTAGTATCAGAACACACGCAAATGCAAATACGGCCAACACAAGTATTGCAAAATCATGCAAATGTAACTCTCGTTTCAAAAGACCCATTTGTAATTTATATTTAATGAAATATAAAAGAGTATTATTATAAATATATTTCAGCATGGATTACGCATTCAAAATATAATTTTGGTTCCAATTTAATAATTTCTTTAACTAGTTTAGTTTTTTCTAGCAACCACACAGTACTTAAACAGAATAAAACAAAATAAATACTATTATTTAAACAATTAATTTTAATTAAATAATACTTTTATTTCAAACAGAAATATAAATTCTATTTTAAATGAAACATAATACATTACTGTCACCATATCTGCAAGTAATAGATTTCAAAGCTTACCATAGATGATAAATGCTGTATTATACATGCTAGCTGCATGACATACATCTAAATAGACACATGTTTAATTAATACATAGAGTAAAAATAAGAAAACTAATTTAAAAAGTAATATTGTACACTACATTGCTCACTGGTATCATTAAGTGAAGTAATGGAATATGTAAAAGAAGTTCCAGCATACTTCTATTTTCTTTCATTAATATGATAGTCAAGTTATTCTGACATTTTAGACTAAACCTCAAAATGCAACAGAGATATATAAAGAAATGTAATATATGTATTGTAGAACATAAAAAGTCCTGTTACTTAAGCCCAAACTAATGAAATTCTGTACTTTTTCAGAACTAGTATCTTTCACACACATAAACAAATTCTAATGCCATATGCAGTTGGTTGCAGCAGCATATTTAAAGTATTAGATAGTTTTTCATTACTTATGCAGTTGCTTATGCATAGCATTGCCTTGTTTTTTCTTTAAAGTTTTTTCATTTGATTTGTAAATAGGGACTTATCTTTATAACTACACCTCCAAAGTGGATCAAATTCTGATTGTCCACAACTCTTTCCTTCTTTTCCAGCACAATCACTATATCATCTGTGTACTTTTTTAATTCAAAAAACCTTTTTTAGTACATAAAACATGCAGAAGCATTAAGTTTTTACAAAGTTATTCTATTTTACATTTTCTATTTAAAACCTTTTGCAAAAGGCATTTTTATCTTTTTCTTTCTTTCTTTTTTTTCTTTTTCTTTTTTTTTTTTTTTAAATTAAAAGAGCAAAATTAATGTGACTTACAGTATAGGAATATTATTAGTATTACATCAAAGAAATGCATTACATTATTTGTGTTGGAAATTTGTATTCATTTCTATTTGCAGTGAGAAATGATATCACTCAACACTAGCCATGTAACTTTGCTGAGACGTTTATGGCAGTACTGTATCCTATGATTCCCATGGTAGTATCAGTGATTACAGTGCCAACATTATTGGAAAGTCATGGTTTTATTCCAAACAGAAGTCCCTATATGAACAATTGGGAATTCCAGTGAAAGTTACAGTTCCCACAAACAGCCAAGCACTCAACCTGATGACTAACCTTAGCAACATTAGACTTTGCTACCACTGTGCCTTATCATAGTTCCTGCTTCTGCAACCACGACTCTGCTTATCTAATTTCATAGACCCTTTTAATTTTCCTACCAATTATCTGTCCCTTTTATAATTATTACAACATAGGACCATTATTTGTCATCATAATTATTATTGCACATGCATTTACACTACATATAAATCAGACTTAATGATGTTCTAAAAACTATTTCTCATTCATAACATTTGTATAATGTATTTTTTGAAGTGACTGTAGAAATAAAAATTCCTTTTTTCTCAAGTGTGCAAACCGAAGAAAGGTAAATTAAATACTATCTGATCACAAACAACCATTATTCTCCTGTTCTTATTTTACAACTGTCTTGCAGGGATGAATGTGGGATATGATAAGCACAGGTTTGAAAACTATCCAATAACAGAGTACCAACTCAGAAAATTTAATTTACCTCTAACTTTGAATAAAATCTTAAGGAAATCACTGGATCACAATAATTACATTTAGAAGACTTCTCAACCATTAACATCTGCATACTTTAGCAGGCCAAATCAAAACAATGGAAAAAATATTACTTAAACAGCAACTACATTAAAGATCAGAGATTTGAACATAGCTACTAAAATTTAAGTATTTTTTATTGAATGTGTTAACACATATTTTTAAGTAAAGAAAAAAATAACATTAGAAATTTGAAAATAAATATGCTGCAATTTTTATAAGTGATACAGCTTACTAATAAAACTAAATTGTAAAATTGTAAAAATTAATTAAACTGTAATAAAAACAGTAATTTTCTCTCAATCTGTATATAATTAATAAAACTTCACAAGTATAGCAATAGAAATTATATATCTTTCAGACAATTTTAACATTATGAATAAAGCATACAAATTGCAATATATTCTCGATGAAATCAATATTTAAAAACATGTGAAATTTCAACTTTGGCACTTACAATACTTTAAAGCAAACACACTGGTTGAATAGTTTTAAATACATGTACAGAATAAAATCTAATATTAAAAACAGTTAGTATAGCTATTAAATTTCTGAATATTAGTTCAACAGAAACTCTTCATCTATTGAGTAAACTTCCATAGCTACACACATATAAGCTGTAACAAAAATTTCTATCAATCTGTATATAATGAATAAAATTGCACAAACATATCGATAGAATTTTGTGTATCTTTTAGATAATGAGTAAAGTATAAGAACTGTAATATTATTATTTTACAAACATTGTTTAAAAACCTACTTTTAATTTTTGTAAAGAACAAGTGCAGGAAATTCAGAGAATTTTTAATTTTGCAGTGAACACTTTAAACAGAGGTTGAGCAATAATTACCATTGAAGAAAAGATTGCATTTTGTTATTCTTATCAACTACTTTACATATGAAAATATAAGAATAAACGGTGGGCTAGATAAAATTCATGGTTTAAAAACTCCTGCCTTTTAATCTGTGCCTAGAATCTATGAGGGAAGAAACCTCAATAAGTATTATGCTGAAACAGGAAAGTGGAAATATCTTACTTAAAAGTATGACAGTATAAGAAAATAAATCAGAACCTTAAGAAAATTACAAAACAGTACAGGATATTCCATTGTCATTAATAACACGATTGAAAATATTCACGTATTATTAAATTGTGGGCACCATTTTAAATTCAACATGATTACATTCAAAAGTATGAGGCAAGTTCACAATTAAAATCTGTACAGTGAGAAGAATAAACAAAACTTTCTGACAGAAAAAATATATACAAGCACATCATTCAAACACCTAAAGTTGCATAATTATATGATTGCCCCCCAAAAGAAGAATTTCAAAGAAAAAATACAGGACAAGGCAAATTAGATTTTTCGTTGTTTACAAATGTGTGGTGACATGCAAATGTCTTTCTTTTGAAAAGTAAAAAGAGCATGAAGAAAAATTTTTACTGTTATGAGAGGCACAAAATATCCATTAAAAATGGCCACAAATATGCTAGTGTCAGCTACATCATATAAAATACTTTGCTGTGAAAATGGAAGAGTTAAATTAATCACAGTCATTACTGCATATATTCAACTCTTTCTAATACAAGAAATCTCTTGCATAAATAATCACAAATGCGATGAAAATATTTCACATGGAATAGCTTTAGTTCTTCAGACCATACCAAAGCCCTCAGAACCTTCATTGATAGCCAACCTGAGAGCTCTTTCGAACTGTTCATATGAGTCATAATCTGGTAAACACAACTGATTGAAACTGTGGGAGGAAAAAAAATCTGAATATCAAATGCAACAATAATATTTTGTTATATTACATTAAAATTTCTACTTTTAAATTATAAATTTTAAAAATGAAAAATGTAGGGAAGGAAAAAGCTCTTAATGCTGTAATTTTTATTAAAAAAAATCAATGCAAAGGAGATGAATTTTAAATACAGTATTAAACTCTGTAATGAAAATGACAAATTATATGTAATATATCTAAAATAATGAACAAATAAAATTAAAAAAATAACCAAATTTATATATATTTTTAGTTTCCTCTAAAACTAACTCTTTCCCAAGCTATCTTTGCTTACGTTACATTATATGTAACTAGAAACTGTATACTACTGTATACTAGAAAACTAAATGTATAGTAGAATACTAACTGTATACTAGAAAAAGGTATATATTTTAACACATGTTCACTGATACACAGTCACAGTGATTACAGTTCTTCACCGCCGACAGCCAGAAACAGAGTAACCAACTCGAATTTCCCCCTAGTGGAGGAGAGGGAGAAAGCTGGTAGTGCCCTCTCTTGGGGCAGTGGACAAATAATAATAATAATAAAGAGTTCTCCACGGTATTCCCCCCCCCCCGAGTGCCGAAGGTACAATGAAAAAATCAGTTCACAAATATCTGATATTGAAGCGCACACGTCTTCCCGATCGTGTGACAACTGGTGGAGCACTGGGAGGAAGCGTAAGGTCGATCGAAGGAGGAGCATCTGGAGAAACAGTTGGGTCCGGGGAAGCAGGAGGATCGTTGGTCACCGGAACCTGAGTATTTGAAGCTTCGAAGAAAGGCAGGCTTCAGTCTGATCTATTCCCAGAACGGTTTCCTTGTCGTGCACGAGAAACGGTGAAATGCTTATTGTTACGTGCACAGACCTTGAAGGGTCCATCGTATGGAGGAGTGAGTGGCTCGTCGTTTCTCACAAACATGTGAGTGCAAGTGCTCAGTGCATGGTGTACGAATGGGGTGGATTTGTTGTGGCATGATGTAGGAGCCGGAGACAGCTTCTTCATCGCCTCTTGGAAAGTCTGGAGAAAGGATACAGGATTGACTGGAGCAGAGGATGGCTGAAAGAACTCAGATGGTAATCGAAGGGCTGTGCCGTATATAAGTTCAGCGGATGTACCTGCGAGGTCTTGCTTGAAGGAAGAATGTAAACCAAGAAGCACAAGAGGGAGTGATGTAGTCCAACGGGTGTCATTACGACACTTTAGAGCTGCTTTTAGGGCGCGGTGGAAATGTTCCACTAAGCTGTTGGCGGATGGATGGTATGTCAAAGTGCGAATTCGGTGTATTCCAAGCATAGGCGTCAGAGAAGCAAAAAGATGGGACTGGAATTGTTGATTTTGATCAGTAGTTACAATGGATGGTACACCAAATCGTGCATTCAAACCGGAGATGAATTGTCGAGCCACAGAGTCAGCAGAGATGTCCTGAATGGGAAAAGCTTCAGGCCAACGAGTAAATCTGTCAACACAGGTGAGTAGATATCGGTAACCGTCAGATGGTGGCAGAGGACCGACGATGTCTATATGAACATGGTCGAATCGTTCGGAGGGCATCACGATTTTTTCCAAAGGGCTATGTGTGTGCCGGGTAACTTTCGAACGTTGGCACATGATGCAGGAACGAGTCCCATTGGCAATGTCCTTTAGCATGGATGGCCAAACGAATCTTTCTTGTATGAGCTTTTTGGAAGCTCGGATACCTGGGTGCGATAGGTTGTGGAAACAGTCAAAAACTTTTTTCTGAAGTCAAGTGGTACATAAGGTCGAAGTCTGTTGTTAGAGGTATCGCACAATAGTTGGAGATCCCGAGTAAGTTGTAATGACTGGAATTTCAATGAGCAGTTTGAGTCTTCACTCAGACGTTTTAACTCCTCATCGGTGGCTTGCGAAGTGGGCAATAAGTGTGAAATCCAGCGGTGCATTGGCATCGATGCCTTGAATACGCGAGAGAGTATCTGCGACGACATTGCTGGAACCTGATATATGCTGAATATCTGTGCTGAACTGAGCTATGTAATTTAAATGATGAATTTTTTTTGGGGAAGCAGAATTTGATTTTGATGTGAATGCATAAGTTAGAGGTCGGTGATCAGTAAATATAGTGAAGTGTTGCCCTTCAGGATTATGCCTGAAATATTTTATAGCTGCATAAATAGCTAATAACTCTCTGTCATATGTGCTGTATTTTTGTTGAGTGGGGGATAGCTTACGTGAGAAAAATCCTAGCGGCTGATAGTTATTAGAGTGCCGAACATTTAAGACAGCTCCGATGGAAATGTCAGAAGCATTAACCATAATACTCAACTTTTGGTTGAGAGAGCGGTAGGAGAGAGTTGCAGCATTAATAAGGTCGTGTTTACATTTTTCAAATGCCTGATTCAGTTCGTCGTTCCAAGGAACGGTGCGTTTATCATTTTTACGTGAATCTTTTAAGAGTTCATTCAGTGAAGCTTGGGTCTCAGCTGCCTTTGGTAAGAAGCGGCGATAGAAGTTTATCATGGCTAAGAAACGTCTGAGCGTGACAATAGTGGTAGGTTTTGGGAAGTCGGCAATTGCCTTTGTTTTTTCAGGCAGGGGTTTAACACCTGAAGCAGTAATGAGGCAACCTAAAAAGGAAACAGATGGTTTTCCGAGTATGCATTTGTTAGGGTTTAAAGTCAAACCGTGTTTTTTTCAAACGTCAAACACTTGACGAAGATGACGGATGTGCTCTTCTTCACTAGTCAATGCAATAAGGATGTCGTCAAAATAAGGGATGCAAAAATCCAATCCAAATAAAACTTCATGTATAAAATGTTGGAAAGTTTGGCCTGAATTACGTAACCCAAACAGCATAGACAAAAATTCAAAAAGACCGAAAGGTGATGGCCGTTTTCGGAATGTCTGCAGAGTTAACAGGGATTTGATGATAGGCACGGGCTAAATCATGAATTGAGAATATGTTCTTTCCTGAAAACATTTGAGTGCAATCCTGAATATGGGGTAAGGGATAACAATCTGAGATGGTAACCTTGCTTAAGCGACGGTAATCCCCGCATGGTTGCCCGTCGCCATTTGCTTTACGAACCATATGCAGGGGGCTCGCCAAGGACTTTTTGAAGGCTGAATGATGCCTTTTGATAGGAGAAAGTCAAACTCTTGATGTGCAGTTTGAAGTAATTCTGGAGATAATCTTCTAGGTTTTGAGAAAATAGGGGGTCCTTTAGTTTCCCTCACAAAAGTTTGCGAAGGATTTGTCAAGCTGGGGTATTCGGCAAGAATTTTGTCAAATTTTGAGTTACCCATCAAAATATGAATGCTAGTACTGAGCGGGTTCACATTGGGAAGTCTACCACAAGAATATAGTTTTGTTTGTCCATCAATTAAACGGTTGTTTTTAACATCTATAAGTAAGTTGAACTTCGTGAGAAAGTCAACACCTATGATGGGTTGATTGACGTCTGCCAGGACAAAAGGCCAAGTAAATGAGCGACGTAAGTTTAAATTGATGGTCAAGAGTTTGGTGCCATACGTTGCTATTTTAGTGCCGTTAGCAGCAAAGAGTACTAAGTCAGCTGGGTTTTTGGCGTGCTGACTGTAACTCTTGGGAATGACAGATAAATCGGCTCCGGTGTCAATTAAAAAGGTGAGTTTTGACGATGGATCGGCCAAAAGAATTCGATTAATGTGGCGGTCGCAACGTTGGCCGACAAGTGATCTCCGATCTAGTTTTCCGACTGCTGGAAATTGCATGGAGAAACACACTTCCATGCAATGGAACCAAAATTAGTATGGTAGAAACAAATGTTGTTAGCACGGTTCTTTATACTGGCGATAACGTCCATTGGATCTATTATGCCTTTTGTTGCGTTGGGAATGATTGTCTCTTCATTCAAAGGAACGCTCATGGCTGTTTTTGATGGCTAGCGAAAGTTCATTTACTTGCTTCGTCAGCTCTGCAACTTGCTGTTCAATGGGAGAAGTAGATGCCTGTAGCAGCACTATTTATGTTAGGGAGAGTTGTGAGATCTGTAATTTTATCAGCTACAACTGCGAGTTTTGGGAGCTCATCACTTAAGGCAGCAAGAATACTCTGTGTATTTTGTGGCAGACGGGATATCCATAGAGATTTCAACAAGGGTTCTCCAACGGTCTCTCCAGCGAGGTTTCGCATATGGCAAAGCAATTGGGAAGGGCGTTGATCGCCAAGTTCTAGCCCCTGAAGGAGTGTACGGATCTACAACTCCTCACTTTCAGAATGCAATTCAATTAAGTGTGTTTTTAGTGCATCGTATTTTCCAGTCACTAGTGCAAAACGATATCACAAATGCTATTGAGAATATCGGACTCGATTGCAGATATCACATGATTGAATTTCGTGGAGTCAACAGTGATTTCGGCAATGTCAAACTGGGCCTCCAGTTGTGCAAACCATAAAGTCGGATTGACCTTCCAAAATGGGGGAGGCTTGATGGAAACATGTGAGATATTAAGATCGTCTGCGACGGTTTGTGATGGAGCCATGATTCACAAAAACATATATATATATATTGCCAAATGTGAGATAAATAAATACACAAAAATCAGTCATTAATAAGTTCACATACGATACTAGTGCAAAATAAATAAAGTTAATGCAAGCGTTAAAGTGAGAAAAAACACTTTTTGTAGGTGTGCTATCCGAATATAAACATAAGTTTTAAAGTATTACTAACTAAGAATTTGTGTGGCTTACCTACGAATTGTACGAGAAATATTTGCTCAGTGAGCGGCACATTCAGCATAACACAATTCCCTTATAGAAAAATATTCTGAAAAACTTATTTTGTGATATATAACCATGTTGTAGAATATATATGTAAATCACTTCTAAGCACTTTGACGTTTTGCATGAGGCACATTCACAAGCACGTTGTTAAGGAGACACAACTGTTTTTCACACTATTTTGACGGCAACACAAAAAAAAATAATCATGGATTACGATATTCA